GGGGAAAGGGACGGTCCGCAGTGACGCCACAGTCACGGTGCTGCTCACACCAGGGGGAGCCTTCACCTGGGACAGTCGTGGGCCCCGGCGGCCAGTGCCCAGCTGACCTGCAACTGCAGCCCCTTAAGATATTTTTCCCATTGGTTCCGGGAGAGAGTGGAAGGGAGGAGGGAGGGGGACAGAGAGAGGGAGAGAGAGAAACATGGATGTGAGAGAGACACATTGATTGGCTGCCTGCCACACGCGCCCCAACTGGGGCGGGGAACCTGCAGTCCAGGTAGGTGCCGGGAATCAGACCCCAGACACCGGTGCTCTGACCACTGAGCCACCGGCCAGGGCACGACACGGCTCTTTAAATAAATACGTGTTTCTCAGGCACCAAGAGAAAACCGAACAGCAAACATAAATCCGTTCACTTACAACCCCAAGAAGCCGCGAGAGAGGTGCCGTCGGAGGGAACGGGACGCCTCCTTGGTTGAGCTGCGAGCCCAGGTCACCCACCTGCCCCCTGCGGGCGATGAGCCGGTCACACGGCGGCACAGCGAGGGCGACTCAGGAGAGGAACTCGGGAAGCAACGCACCCACAGCCCCAAGGTCGGTCAAAAACAGCACAAAGCAGGTTTAGCCAAAGAACCTCGTATTGAAAAGACACATCGATCAAGTCCTAACTGAATAAATGACAACAGAACGTCCGCCCTGCGGCCCCTGTGGCTCCTGAGCCGTGGGCCTGGCCTGTGCTGGACGGGGCGCTGAACAGCGCTTTTTCACCCGCCACCCCCGCAGGCGGAGACCCGTCACGCGGACGCGCCCCAGCCCCAGGCCCCAGGAGCTCGGCACAAATGGGAACACATTCCACGGGGTTAATGGCGGTGAAGAGGCCGGCCCCCTCCAGCCACGCGTGCACCGGGCGTCAGTCGGCGCACATTCGTCCCGGCCACGGCGGCGACTCTAACGGAGGAGACACACCTGAGCGTGTGGGTGGCTCTGGCCCCGCCTGCCTGGGGATCGAGCCCACCGCCCTGGCAGGTGCCCTTGACCAGAATCAAACCTGGGACCCTTCAGTCCACAGGCTGACGCTCTATCCACCGAGCCACCCGCCAGAGAGCTCTCCTATCATTTTATCTTAATTATTTTCTTTTTCATTCCCCCAGAAAGTTAATTTAGAAAGTCCTATTGCAGGGTATGACAGACACATGTTAGCAATGGATGCCCCAAAAGTTGCATCTCCCAAAATATCAAGTTGAATAAGGCAGATATCATTTGTCAAATTAATAAGACAAAAACTTTTTGCTTGGTTTTTGGTAGGTGAAGGAAGGGTAAAAGTAATAGCTTTATTTAAAATTACTTCCCCCGCTGCTGAGTGCATTCACTGAACACTTTATTTTGTTTTATTTTTTATTTCAGAGAGGAAGGGAGAGGGAGATAGAAACAGCAATGATGAGAGAGAATCATTGATCAGATGCCTCCTG